TGGACCACAAAACCAGTCATAAGTAGCCACGGGTATATTTGTAGCAATAGCCAGCAATACGTTGTATGGGTCAAAATTATCGATTTTTCTTTTATGCCAAAAATCATTAGGATATTAAGTAAAGATCATGTTCCATGAAGATATTTTGTAAATTTTCTACAGTAAATATATCAAAACTTAATTTTTGGTTAGTAATATGCATTGCTAAAGACTTGATTTGGACAACTTTATAGGTGATTTTCTCAATATTTTGATTTTTTTGCACCTTCAGATTCCAAATTTTCAAATAGTTGTAACTCAGGCAAACATTGTCCTATCCTTACAAACCATACATCAATAGATTAGAATGATTTCTGAAGGATCTTTAGACTGGAGTAATAAATTATATTTTAAAGTATATTAAAATAGAAACCATTATTTTATATTGTAGTAACATTTTGCAAGATTACTGTTTTTTCTGTATTTTTGATCAAATAAATGCAGCCTTGATGAGCATAAGATACTTCTTTAAAAAACATTACAAGTCTTACTGATCCCAAACTTTTGAGAATGTTTTAATGATGATTTAACACCGTTTTACTGCAACAGTGTTTTTGAGTATTGTTTACTATTTAGGGTTGTGACGGTGAGGAAATTTTCCCACCGGTTAATCGACTTGTGACAACTAGACATGTGCCGGTGTTCTGTTGATTTGTGCTATCCTGTCAGATTTTGCTACCTCCCATTAAAACAGTGGGTAGTACAATTCGACAACGAAAAATGCTACCTGTAAAATTATGGTTTATGAACGTCTACACCTACCACAACCCTAAATCTACCCTTACAGTAATGCAAATACAGTAATTATGTGTTATATTTGCGGTTGTAGCTATAAAGGATACAGCCACAGGAAACCAACAATAAATAATTTTTCCTACCTATTAGATTGTGTTTTATTAAAGTCTACACCTACCCCAACCCTAAACCTACCCTTACAGTAATGCAGATATATTAAATATTGTTGTTCAGCATGAGAAAAAGGACGCAATATTGATGTGCGCATGCGCAGTAAACCCTGGTAGGACAATCTGACGGGTAGGATAAAATGTCAGGACACCGATATTCGGTAATGCGATATATCACGATATTATCATCGTGGGCACTTCAAAATACAGAGAATAATTATTTATTACAAATTATACAGAATTTTGAATGCATTTTAGGAGTACTTTTCCCATCAACTGGTCACAATGCACAACACCGCTGTATGCTGCGTGAAAGACGCATGTGCACTCTGATGTAAACAATCACGGACGAGAAGCACATGGCGGAACATGTGAGTGACGCACTGAATGAAAGTGCACTTTCACTCTCTGACAGCAGATGGCGCTAAACTGCAGAAAATGCAGCCGTTACCCTGGAAACCCCATACTTTCTAAAACATATTTAAATTATTTAAATAGCCATTCAGATTTTTGTATTTGCTATGGTGTTCATCACAGCGCCAAATACTTAAATATTTAAAATTAATAGGCTATTTATTTTCAGATTTTTGTACGTTTTAATCTGGACTACAACATGCCCTAGATATTGTTTAAAAGTTTTTTGAATCTTTATTGTTCGGTCACACTTTACATTAGGGCTTCATTAGTTAACATTAGTTAAGTCAGTTAAAGGGGTCCTATTATGCTTTTTCACTTTTTCAACTTTAGTTAGTCTGTAATGTTGCTGTTTGAGCATAAAAGAGATCTGCAAAGTTACAAAGCTCAAAGTCCACTTCAAAAGGAGATATTTTATTTAACAGAAATCACTTTCAAAAACTACAACGAATGACTCATTTGGACTACAACGCATATTTTCCGGGATTTGTGATATCTTTATACATTTTTCTGTATAAAAAAGCTGGATTTAAAAATGTTATTTAAATGTTCAGTTATTTTGTTATAAGAAAAAGTTATTAAACCTGTTATACTGTATTATGACAACACTTTTTTTTTTTTAACTAAATTTCAATATCGTGATAATACTGTATACTGTGATAAAAGCATTAGCAATTAATCACAACATGAAAATTTGATACCGGCATATCCCTAGTGACAACACCGTTAAAACCGGTATCACCGGCAGGGGGAGGGGGGTAGTTTTCCCTCTTTTCCTCATTTTCCTTCTGTTTTAAATAGCTTTTAAAAGCGACGTGCGCATTTTACTTTCACTTTAAAATTAGCGGCAATTCGGTATCAAGCAGTTGTTTGTTTTTAGTTAGTTTGTTAGTTTTCCCTCTTTTCCTCGCTTTCCTCCGCTTTTAAATAGCTTAAAAGTGCATGCACATTTTACCTTCACTTTCAAATTAGCGGCAATTTGGCGTCAATTGCTTGAATTAAATTCAAGCAACAACAAAATACATAGAACTTTTATTAACAAAACAAATAAAAATACACTATGCTATATGCCTAATATAAAATAACAAATAACTTGCACAAAGTTTAGGTATACAAAACTGAAAATCAGTAAACACTGTGGAACCAAATAAATAAGAAACGTACGTTTATTAGCAAAATGAATAAGAAAGATTTGAGACATGGCATACTTGATGTAAAATAAAAATAGGCTACACAGTTTAAATAAATTATAATCCGCAAACATGTGGAACCAAATAAATAAGAAATTAATGTTTAAAAATACTTCCAATATCACTGTAGCAAATCAGCTCAAAAGGGAAATGTATATAAATAATTACAAGTAATTATGATTAATATATGAATAATTTATATCATCTGCCAGTAGTAACTGTAGCAGAATTAAATTGCCCTCAACTAATCTGTTCATCCAGAGAACATTCAGTGTAAGTTCATGTCAACTCTAGGAAAGGATATTTTCGTGGCCACAGAAAATACTTTCATACAGTATTAATGCATTAGAGTATGTAGCAAGGATCAAAATCATAAAGGGACATTCATTTGCAAGGCAGAATCAGAAACTTGTGTAATTTGTGCACAAGAGTTTTATTAACTAAACACTAACAGAAACTAGTCTAACAAACAAACAAAC